AAAAAAAAAAAAAAAAAGCTTCTATGGATTCCATTTGTAAAATTCTGAACTAGCCTCTCCCTTAGACCTTTGTTAGTTTTAGGATCCAGTCAGTTGGGTTGTTTTGAAAGACATGATTTTGATCTGAGCTGACATGTTTGCTCATCCCCTGCAGTGGCATCACTGGAGTGCCTCCCATCGTGACTGGAGCTAGTGATACGGGTGAATTTCTACTGGGGAGTTTCTTCTTTTCCAGGGTCTAACCAAGATTAGGGCTGGGATCAAAACCCCTCGGAAATCCTCTGTTTTCAAGTCCTCCCACAGGACTTTGGCTTTCAGGGCTCAGTGCCCCCAGGTCCCTCCTTTTCCACAAAATCAGCAGGTTCTGCTTGTACCTGCAGCTGAGGAAAGGATGTAGGATCTGAGCTAGGCTTCTCTTACCTGAAATCATGCAGGAGCATGCCCATCATGGGTTTGGAAGATGCTTCCTGCTTGATGACAGGGGCCTCGGCCTTTCTTTTTTGCTGCCAAGGTAGGTGCTATCTGACTGCTTCACGTTAAGACTGATCTGTGGGTTCCCCGCCCCAGCCCCCCATCAAGTGGCTTGTTATCAGCACTGGTACTGTAGTTTTTAAAAACAGCTTTATATTGTCACATTTTTTTAGCAAACCTCCAACTTTTCTCAGGTATCAGAGGATCTGTGACTGGCTTTGGAGTTTTCCTTCAGTGAAAAATGTGGGCATTTGAGGCTGCTCCTCAGGCAGTCCTTTGGAAGGAATTAGCTGTTAAAAGGGTTTGCCAACCTCTCTTCTCCCCCCCTCCCCCAGATGGAAGAAAAAGAGCCTCGGAGGCAGAAATCCCAAGACCTTCAAGGTTCCTTACATGTTTTTTTGGACATGGCTGTCATTGCCCTCAGTTGGGGAGCATTTAAAAATGGCTCTCCCTGCTGATTCCTCTGCAGATGCCCACTGTCTGGATACCAGCCGATATGCCATTGTTGGAGGTGATCTTCGAGACTTGCCCAGACTAGAAGAACAACTGAAGAAATGCCACATGGATCCAGAGTAAGATGGGGACTGGAATCTCTGGGTGGCTTCTACCCTGATGGCTTTTCTCCCGGGCCTGGCTCGGGTGGTTGGGGACCCAGGAGAAAAGCCAGGGTGTGTGGGTGTAGTTACCCTGAGTCGCCCTCGGTTTTTGTTTCTCTTTTATTCTTTTACATTTATCATTCTGCCTTTATGTTCTTGGCTTTATGGCACACTGCCCAGAGTCAGGTGGTGGCTAATTCAAATAAATGTGTAAAGGACAATCTTTTCAGGACTTCTTGCAGTACCTAGAATCAAAGATGGGGGAGAAACCCTGAATTCTTTCAACCCCTTGCCCTTTCTTCTTTCTCTGTTTGAAAGTTTGCCAACGCTCCTGATGACGGAATGTGTGCTGATCTACTTGACCACTGAGCATTCAGGTTGCCTCATCAAGTGGGTGGCAACCACGTTTCAGTCTGCCATGTTTATCAACTATGAGCAGGTAAGTCGGGACTCCTCCGCTGCCCATTTCAGCGCCCAAACCAAGTATGAAATAGATCATGGGAAAGGGAGAGAAAGGCCCTGCTTTGGGGGCATGGCTACTTCAGGGTTAGGGCTTGGTGAGGTTATAAACCCGTTCCCCCAAGAGGACATTATTCTTGCCTGTGTTTGAGTTTTGCTATTTCTGCATGGCTTCCTACAGTACAAGAGCAGAGATCTTCTCAAACTGGGTTAATTATTTATTGAGAAGAGCTTCTGAGTCAGAGGTGGTTGAACTCAAAGACAAAGCACTGGAAACAATCTTACTTTTTATTAAATATTAATCCATGGAGTCTTAACATGCTGGCATTTTAACAATGGTGCAAGCTGCATCTTTATAAAAAAAGAGATTAGGAAAAAATGCAGATGACAGATTTGATACTGGAATTTTGGGTATGAAGCCAGTTACTGTTGGAAATGAAAACGCTGTTTATAGTGATCCAGTGTAACAAACCCTAAAATTGTTGGTTTTCAACATAGAAAATGTTTCCAATTTTCAGTGTTATTAGACTGACCCCTTTGCAAGTCAGAGCGTGGTGACAATTATTTGGGATCGTACTGAGTTGCTCTGTGAGCATTATGTTATTTTATTTTTTAAATCTGTATAGCATCCAGCAGTTGTGCACTGTCAGGTAGTAAGTACTGATTTAAGTATTGAGAATGGTGATTTCCTCCAAGTATTGGGATCCCACTGCTGTGTGTTCTGGAATGGGAAGAAATTATCTTTTTCACTC